TTTACGTGGCAAGACCTTGGTAGCAGAGGGGCTGCAGGAGTAACCACTGTGAGAAGACACCAGAAGCTGTCCCCATGTCAGATGGGACCAGTTTCAGCCAGCTCCAAGATGGACCTGATGCTGCCCAAAACTGAGGCCATCAACAGTGCTGGTGGTGCCTCTAAAGTAACAGATTTAAGATGGGTAAAAAACACCGCATAGCAGCTGAGAAAGGGGAGGAAGAAAATGTTAGAGAAACAATCCTGCAGACACCAAGGTCTATGAAGGAGGGAGCTGGTGCTCCAAGCACTGGAGCAGAGATTCCCCTGGAGTCTGTGGTGCAAACCATGGTGAGGCAGGCTGTCTCCCTGCAGCCCATGAAGGTCCACAATGGAGCAGATTTCCCCCACGGCCCAGGGAGGGCCCCACACTAGAGCAGGGAGATGTTCCCTTAAGGAAGCTGCAGCCTGTGGAAAACCTGTGCTGGAGCTTCTCGCAGGAGCTGCAGCCTGTGGCAAAGACCCCATGCAGGAGCAGGCTTTCTGGCAAGACCTATGACTCCGCAGGGATCCTATGCTGGAGCAATCTGTTCCTGAAGGACTGCACTCTGGGGAAAGAGCCCACACTGGTGCAGTTTGTGATGAACTACTTGTAGTGGTATCATGCAAGATTTCCATTCTTGTGACTCATGTAGTGGAGGGAGAGGTACTGAGCTCTTGCCTCTGGGATACAGTGCTAGGACACCTGTGACTGGCTCAAAGCTGCATCATCAGGGGAGGTTCAAACTGAACATTAGGAAGCATTTCTTTACCAAAGGGTGGTCAAACACTGGAACAGGCTTCCTAGAGAGGTGGTCAGGCCCCAGGGCTGTCAGTGTTGAAGAGGCATTTGGACCATGCCCTTCACACCATGCTTTAACTTTCAGTCAGCCCTGAATTGCTCGGGCAGTTGGAACAGATGATTGCTGTAGGTCCTTTCCAACTGAAATTCTGCATTGTATTGTGTTGTCTAGCCCATCTAAGAACTGCACCCTATGGGAAAGACCCACTTGGAGCAGTTCATGAAGGGCTGTCTCCCATGGGTGGGACCCCACGCTGAGAGGCAAGAGCATGAGAAGGAAGGAGTGGCAGAGACAAAGCATTATAATTGACCAGTCCCCATTTCCCATCCCCCTGCACTGCTTGAGGGGATGAGGTGTAAGAGTTGAAAGAGAAGCTGAAGAAAGAAGGGAAGAAAGAAGAGGTGAGGGAAAGGTGTTTGGTTTTGATCTTTTTCTTATTTTCCATTATCCTAGTCCAGTTAACTGGCAATAAGTTAAATCTATTTCCCTAAATTGAGGCTGGTTTGCCCATGACAGTAGTTGGTGAGTGATGTCCTTGTGCTTATCTAAACTGACAAGCTTTTTGTCATATTTTCTCCTTCTGCCCTGTCAATGTACGAGTGATAAGAGTGACATGGCAGATGCTCGGTGACCAGACAAGGCCAACATGCGACAGTGCTCCAAATGTGTTTCCTGGGCAAAAACCTACTGCACTGTTACCTGCACCCCATCTTCAGCAGTAAAGTACAGGTACAGGTGCTTTTAGCCACACTTTTTTCAGCTTGGTGGTTAAAAAATTCTTCTGATAAACAGGGACTTGAAGCCACTGAGACAAAAGGGAGCAGAAACAGTACTTCTCTTGTTCCATTCAACTGCTCTAAATATCAGGCTATCATAATCCAATTTCATTTGCTCCACATACCATTAGTTTTCTTTAACATGGCCACTGGGTTTGTCTAACAGGACAGGGCTCACTGCTCTGGACTCCAAGAAGGCAGGCATCTAAGTGCAAAATCTTACCAGTGAAACATCTACATTCTCATCAACAGGAATCCAGAAATAGCCACTTTACCGGCATTTCCTACTGGAAGCAGTTCGGGTCAGTGCTGCTTACAGGGGCATTTACACTTCTTCAAATGCTATATAGCTAGGCTACCCAACTAACTGCAGTTGCCTAAATCTTTTCCTGGAGATGTGAATTATTTTCCAAGAACTATGCCACCTAAATGTTTGTGCCTAAGACAGATTTCTGTTTGACCTTCCATATTACAGAAGTGCAGCACAGGGGGCTGAAAACAGCTGAAAACATGCCATGTCAAACATAATTCTGTTAAGAAGCCAGCTTTTCAGTGCATTTTAGATTGCTCATGAACGAGGTTCCCAGTGTTAAAGCGCAACTGTTACAGCTTTCAAACAGTAATTATTTGGCTGATTTCCCTATGTTTGCTTTCTTTCCTGGTAATTATACAGTTAGTTATGCAAAATATTTCCAGTCATTTAGAGTTATGAAACTTGAAGTGAAATAACTTTACAATGCATCTTTCCCTTACCAAATTCTTTGCTCACAAATCCCCTCCCCTCCCCCCCCAAATATCTCATGAGTAGAAATGTGAGTTTTCAGCACACACAATGACATCCCCAAACACTGCATTATTATAGGGCATCTTTCAACTCTTTAGCAGTTGAGCATAAACTATAAAATGAGACAATGCCATCCTTCAAAAGAACTTTCACAACAGAAAAACCTGTCTGATAAATATCACTGTCTTCTCTTCAAGGCAGTATTTCTTTCAACTACAAACTGACATCTGGCATGTGTCACAAACGTCTCCTGCACAGCCACAACACAGACAACCTTCATGTTCATTAGCCTCCAAGTTCTTTTCTAAATCAAACCTTGTCAAACACATCACACAAAGACATTTATATCTGTGGCAAGCCTGAATGTTTCAAGAATGGCCGGCTTCCAAACTTCTAGAGATCGCACTTAAAAGATATCAAAACAGCTTCTCCATGTTCTAACAAAGAACTTGTGACTGCAACTATGTAGAGATGAGAAAATCTTTGCAAAGATCGGAAAGCTTTTTAAAGAAAAAAATCTGTACCTAAGTGCCAGAAGAATGCCAGAAATTCTCTTCCACGGGAGAAAAAATAAATAAAAAAATCAGCCAATCAAGACAAGCCAACCAGTAAAAATAAAATAAAATCATATTTCTCATATATTGAGCCACAAAAGAGGCATACTACATCAGTCAAATCCTTATGCCAAAACCAGCCCTACATAGCAAGAACAGATTTTGAATCAAAACTTCTTCACCAAAACAAAGGAAGATTCTATGGGAATTTTGAAACCCCAGGTTGAAAAAAATTAAAAAAAAATAAAAATTGCCCTGCTACTAATCAGAAAAATGATGCAAAAAGGATGCAGAAAAGATGGAAATGAAGCAGATGAAATAGATGAAGAGAAATAAAGCACTCAGAAAGAAAGATGCTCTTGTGAAACCCCACTTGCAGTCCTGTGTACAATTCTGGTGTCCTCAACATAAGAAGGACATGGAGCTGTTGGAACAAGTCTGGAGGAGGCCATGAGGATAATAAGAGGTCAGGAGCACCTCCTGTATAAAGACAAGCTGAGAAAGTTGGAGAGAAGCTTGGATAAAAAAAGCTGTCTGGAGACCTCATAGCAGCCTTCCAGGATCTGAAGGGCCTATAAGGATACCAGAGAGGTGCCCTTCATCAGTGACTGAAGTGCTAAGACAAAGGGTGATGACTGACAGAAGAAGTTCAGATTAGATATAAGGAAAAAATTCTTCACTGTGAAGGTTGTGAGGCACTGGAACAGGCTGCCCAAAGAAGCTGTGAATGCTTCATCCTTGGCAGTGTTCAAGGCCAGGCTGTACAAGAGCCTGGGGTGACAGTGTAGTGTGAGACGCCTCTGCCCATAGATGACTTTATGGCCACTTCCAAACCTAACCATTTTATGATTCTATGAAACATAAAGCAGAAATAGTGTAACAAACAATTGTAAGGAACAGCTTTTCAACTTAGAGCACTAAATATGAGTGGTATAGATGTGAAAGGAAACCACATATCTCACTGTGGTTGTGATACCAGTTTTCCTGCTTGTGTGAGGAGAAAACAGCTACTACAGGGCAATCAACAAGTGACAAACCCCAGCATATTCAAAGTTTACCAATACTCTGTGAAGTTCCCGGGTTCAGGAAAACACCATTACAACAAAGGGAAGTGTTACACAGGCCACTCTGCCTATACACCTCTCCCATTTCAGCTCCCTACAGGTTAATTTCTGGTTACTATATGTAACTGATTTTCAGCTCTGGGACCACTGCACTTTTTTTTTCTCCTAGCTTGATTTCAGTGTAGATAGCAATCTCCCTTCCCCCAGCTAATTTTACACCTCTAATTTATAATCAGTTTTACACCCCAGCTAATTCATCACCAGTTGTGGGATGTTAGCAGGGAGCCCGAACCCTGGTGGTTTGAGGTCATCACCCCAGCCGTTTATGAACGCTGCTTTTCACCCCATGAAGCATCCGCTAGCGCAGCACGCTGCGAACCCAGGTCATGGCTGCTGCAGACAGATCACTGCCGAGGACGGAACGACCCCCGCAAGGCCCAGAGCGCTCACCGGCCGTGCCCGCCGTGCTTTACTGGTGGTGTCGCCGACACAGCATCACGCACAAAGAGGACTGGGCGTGTTCACACACCCCGACACCGGAGCTGTGACTCCCACCTCAGCCAGCGGACCCGGCTCTGCTAGTCACGAAGCTCGCTGCGGAGCGGCCACCGCCTCACTCAACACCCTCCCTGCACCCCCGCCACTCTCCACCGCCGCCCCATCACGGCACCGCGGGCCACGGACACCGCCCCTCCACTCGCTGCAGGGGCAGCTCCGCACCGCCGCTGGTGGGCAGGCCGCAACCCGAGGGGGCGACCCCTCACCCAATGTAAAATGGGATCAGTGCGGCAGGTGAGCAGCACCGAAAGAAACTCACCTCACCTTACCCTCCGTCCCGGTGCCCCACTGAGGAGGAGCCACCGCCCCGCCCCCCGCCGCGGCACGCCCCCACCGCCACTTCCGGGGTACCACATAGGTCCCAGGGCACAAGGGCCGTCGTAGCCGTTAGTCGGTGCGAAAGGGGTCAATGCTACGGCTGCTGGGATAAGGCCGTGCCGGTACCTGTGGTGGAGCAGTGCGTGCAGAGGGAGCCCCGGCGGCTCTCCCGCGGTGCTCAGGCCTCGCTGCGAAGCCGAGACGAGAGGGTGAGGTTCGGCGGCGGGGAAAGAGGGGGAAAGAAAGAGAGAGAGAGAGAGAGAGAGAGAGAGACGTGGGGAGGGAAAAAGATCGCGTCGACGTCGTTTCGCGCATGCGCAAGGCTTACCGCGCGAACCTGCGCGCAGGGCAGCGGCAGCTAGGGACTACCACTCCCAGCGTGCCGTACGCGGGCAGCGGCGATGTTGGCGGCCGCGGCGGCGCGGTGAATGCTGGGGGTTGTGTTGGTGGTAGGCGGGAGTGGGCATGAGTCGCGGCGGTATAGCTGTGCTGGAGGGCGCTGAGGGCGGGCGGGGCGCTGAGGGCGGGCGGGGCGCTTCCCGGGAGGAAATTCTCTGGGAGGAGCGCCTGGTGCGGCCGTGGCTGTGAGTCTTCAGCTCCGCTGTCGGCCTTTAGGCCCTCGGGTCTCCTGACCTGGTGTAGCGGTCGTAGTATGCGATGCCGGGGTGTGTGCGAAGGGGCGGCGGGGGTAAGGGCGCTGTTCTAACGCGCTTTGCAGCGCCTCTTGGGCTGCGCTGTGCAATGCAGGTCCCGTCTTGACCTGGCTTTGCCCCTGTGGTCCGGTGTGCCAGCGGCTTGTTAGGGGCTGTGACGGTGGAGGTACCTCAGGAGTGGGGGTACTGTGAAATGGAGGGGGCTCTGTAAGGTATGGGTTAGTGTCCCAGAAACTATGGAGGGGTGTGCGTTGAGTGTGACTGTCATACAATCGTTTGGGTTGGGAGGGACCTTCAAATGTCATCTAGTTCTGACCCTCTGCAATGAGTAGGGACATCTTCAACTAGATCTGGTTGCCCAGGGCCACATCCAGCCTGGCCTTGCATGTCTCCAGGAATGGCACATCCAGCACCTTCTCTGGGCAACCAGTGCCAGTGTTTTACCACTTTTATCGTAAACAATTTTTTCCTTGCGTCCAGTCCAAGTCTCCCCTCTTTTACTTTAAAACCATCACCTCTCATCCTGTCGCAACAGACCTGCTAAAAAGTCCTTCCCCATCATTCTTACAGGCACCTTTTAAGACCGGAAAGGCTGCAATAAGATCTTCCCAGAGTCTTCTCTTCTCCAGGCTGAACATACCCAACCCTCTCAGCCTTGCCTTGTAGCAGAGGTGTTCCGTCCCTCTGACTATTTTTGTGGTCCTTCTCTGGACCTCTGTTTACAGGTTCCTGCTAGCACTTTGGTTAGAAAAGATGTATTTGAGGCTGCTTGGGGAATTCCTGTCTCTGCTAGGAATTACAAATAGAGGTAGGGGAGATGATACTCAAAAGCTGGATTAAAAAAAAACACCAAAACCAGCTGGGATTGTGATGAGAGAGGGCTTAAAAAAGCAAAATAGTAAAATGGCTAGCAAGTGTAACTGTTTTGGTTAAGACAAACCAAAGATCTCTGGTTACATGGAAGGTTAGTTATCTTTGCCAGATACTTTTCCTTGTAAAGCAGTATATTCTTTTCCAGCTTCAAAGGAATTAAGGATCGGTTGCTAATTGTGAAAGTGTTTGATTTTTATGTACTACCAGATTATGAGTTATCTGAATTCTAAATAACGGAATGTTATTTTCAGTTCAGGTTTTTTAAGATTAGGCTAAACAAAGTAAATTGGGTGTTGGACGAGGGAGATAAGGGTAAACGAGTAGGGATATAAGAAACTAAATACCTAGGAGGGAAGCTCATTTGATGCTGTCCTTCAGACAGCAGTCCAGCAGATTATTGATGCACTCTGCTGGATCAGGATCCTGCTAAATACATTAAATGTGTACTATATGGATACTATGTAAGTATTATTTCTTTGCTGGCTTATGCATGCTATTTCAGACTTCTATAGTAGAAACTGCTGTTGCAGGAATGAGCATAGAATTTCTGTTTAGCTGATGCATAAGCAGTGGTTTTGCTCAGGTGTATCTTACTGCTGTGCAAATTTGCTTTTTTAGAATCTATAACCATGTACTATGTGGGGATTATTCACTGTTTGTGACAAGCATTCGATGAGCAAAAAGTACTGAAAGAATAAAGATTGTCCTGGAACATCTTTTCTTGCCATGTGTGAAAGTCTCTTTCAAGCCAAAATGGTCCCTCCTCCCAGTGGTTAGGTGATAAATCATACCTGGATAGTTTTGACTTCTAGCCATGCTTGAGTAGCTGCAGCACAGCCTTCAGGATGTGATAAACACATAAATGTATCGGCTTTTGCGAATCATAGATGTTGCTATGTGGACAAAACTGTGTGAGTTCACAATAACAGAAACAAAGCTCTCTAAGGACAGAAGATTAGACAACGTTGAAAATGGCCAGAACTCTTGAGCAAAATGGAGTCACATAGCAAAAGAATTTGTAAAGGTAAAAGAAAAGGGGGAGGGGGGGCTTGATATGGGGTAAGCTAGTGCCTGGAAAGCATAGGGTTAAAGTACTTTTAGCTTAATTTAGGTCAAAGATAAAGAACAATGTTTGTGATGTAAGTCTGTGGTGAGACCAGGATTTAGTGGCCCCACTAAACATGAATGAATTATTTCACACCATCCTCCTACTTATCAGTTAGTTTGGAGACAGTGCCCCCTGAACATCTGCTAGCTTCAGATACTCCTTGTCTGCCTGTCCTGTTTTGCTTGCAATACATTTTCATGAAGGTCACACTGTTCTAAATCTTTGCCAGCGATCAGAAACTTACATATATGGCTGGTTTCAGCTAGTTTTGTGATTACTGGGGCATCCAACTGTGCCAAAGGTGAAAAGTACCCCGTGAGGAAGACTGCTTACTTCATCCTGAAGACCCCTGCCTGCATGAGGAAGACTGCTTACTTCATCCTCAAGACCCCGGGCCACAATCACGGGACAGCAGTGTGCAGTATGCCAAGAGGAGGAGACTTATGATCTTGGAGCTAGTTATAATATTCTCTGCCTATATGTGGGAATTACAAAATATTGCAATTAATGCAATAGTGAAAGTATATAAACCTGTAACAAAAGCTAATCAGTGCACCTCTGGCTACGCGCCAGTGCTGTTGCTTTTGCTTTATTGACTTTGTCCCTCAGTAAAACACTGTTATCTTGATTAGAGGAGTGAGCTTGTATTTCACAAGGAGGGCCCAGATTATAGCTTGGATGCACGCCCCTGGCAGATCAGATATTTTGACTGCTCTTCACCAGCACTGTTTAACTGTCAGAAACACTAGTTATTCAACTTCTCTGAAACAACAAAACCACGAATTTTACCCTGGCAGCCTCACCCTCCGTTCTGCTGTTACCCAGTTTACCATCTCGGTGGATTGCTTTGGCTTGTGCTATCAGATGTAAATTTTCAAGGAACTGGTGTGCAAGCCAGGATCACTAGAAACATTACTATGTTCTGGCTCCACACCTTCCTTGTTCTGAGACACTCTTTCCTTGCAGGCAGGGTTGTAGTGGTGAAGTTTGTGCTAGATCTCTCAGGCATGAGAATTTTATTGTAAACACTAGTGTTGTATGACAAGAGAATTGGCTGATCTTGAAAGCCAGCTCTGTGGTTTGCAACATGAAGTATATTCAGTGGGGCAGAGGTCTTGCCACTGAATGTGAAGTTTCTGGCATGCATTTGAATTGACATACAGCAATGTTTAGCCCAGCTGTATATGTAGAATATAATATTCTATAAATAACATGCCACATTTTAATTCCTGTGAGGAATAGAAATAAAATAATAAAAAAATAAAATGGAATAAATAGAAATAAATAAAAGCAGGCATAATCATTCTTTAGAGCTCTTTACTTCCTTTTCACCCCCAAGTATAGTGAAGGTAAGTGAGAATCTCTAAATTGAAAAATAAACATCCTGACTTACACATTTAGTTTTCAAAGAACATCACTATATGAGATAACATAGATTCTGGAGTGACTGGATACTGTCACTTCCCAGTAATTATATGCCACTTAGCAGATGTAGCAGATGAACTGACTATTCCTGACAGGGTGGGCAAGAAATTTACCTAATGCTATGGATAACCAGCATTTACTAAGAAATGATGACGTGGTAGACCCCAAGCCTGATCCTGCTCTTGCAGCATCGGTTAGAGAAGGATCAAACTGCCATTCCATGTACATCTTTGTTGCTGCTACAGTAGATTTGGGGAAAAAAAACCAACCAACCAAAACAAAATCCTGAAATCTTGTAGAGCCTGCATGAATAATTCTGCCTGTGAATATTTCTGCCAGTCATTAATTGCTGATTATTCTGATGGTGTCCTTGCCAGACCCAAGCATTTCCAGTACTAATGATGCATTTTACTAATGACATTTCATTTTAATATGATCAGGGAAGTCAGCCTGCATCAGGGAATGAATTGTTACCTTACATGCAGGGTCTGGTTTCAGACTTTAACTGTCAAATGAATTAATGAACAATATAAATTTGTCAGTTTCTGTCTGGGAGGTTGTTTCCCACCATTTGTTTATGTGTTGGTTTGGGTTTTTTTTCCAACTAGGGTAGATTTTTGGACATGCTTAATTTCCAGCACGCCTCCTTTTGAGAGCTATCCAGATTTTTCTCTCTAGTCTCATTTCCTGCCCCATAAATCAAAGTGGAAGTCCCCATTGTTTGGAAGTTTTAAAATGTAAGTTGACAAAACCAGCTTTGCATAGAACAAAATTAGTGTGTCAAGCAGTGTCCTGTATTGGTTAGGTTGATAGCATGGAGATACTGCGAGCAGTGCAGGGGATGGTGTAACATCCCCTCAGATGTTATCTTATCAAGACACCTCTGAACTACAAGGAAAACAGTAAAAACTGAAGACGTGCTCCTCTGGCAGTTGCTCCATGTAACAGATAACGTGTATTTTGTTCAGGTTCTCAATGGTCCGTAGTGGGAAGAGTGGTGGGCTCCACCTGAAGCAGATTGCCTACTACAAGCGAACAGGAGAGTATCATCCCACAACATTGTCAAGTGAAAGAAGTGGAATCAGGAGAGCAGCCAAAAAATTTGTTTTCAAAGGTAAAAGCATTTTTCAGACTACTTGGAAAATA